GGTTCAGGCCACTAGGATCTTCCAAGACTGGATCGGCAATTTTGTTGTCTGCACCCACATAGGAGATAAAGGCTTCAGGATCCAAGAGGACTCTGGCATCAGCAAAAGACAGCACTGGGGATTATTGTCTATACCAGGGAATTTGAGCAGATCTTTGCACTGGTAATAAACATCTTAACAAATACAGAGCAGGCTAGAGAGACTAGATAGTGCTCCACACTGTACATGGGAACATGATAAAAAGCACCACAATTGTGTGCACTCTCCAAACATCTACAGTTCTCTTGGGCCATAGGGACCTAAGACCTTTCAATCTCTTATGAAGATAGGCCTGCTGTGAAAACTCTCGTGCATGCCCAGCTGCCCAGGGCTGCAGGACACCTCAGCTTTAGTAAGGAGAGCTCAGCTTCCTAGCTTCTCCTGGAGATGAGCAAAAACATCTTTAATTTCTCATTTTCTGCAAATGCTTTGAGCATGCCGGGAAGTGTTCCTCTATCATCTTAAACTTCAACTTGTACCTAGCCATTTTTAACAAACAGCATTTAGACTCAGTCAGCAGTTCCTGAACTGCAGTAGAGCTATTAGCACAATGACTGCCCAGAGCACAGGTTTGCACATTCCCTTACTGGGCACAACATTACCTCTGCAACACATCCAGCTCAAAGCTCACAAAAACGTCCCATACCTCTGCATCTCTGGGGAGAGCCATAAGCCAGCAACAGGAGCCATAAGTTCCTCCAAGAAAGCTTTCTGCCGTTCGTAGTCCTTGAACTGGTTGCTGATGAGGACGAGGGCCTCCATAAGGGCACACTTCTCCATCTGCGTCAGAAGTAACTCATTGGAGAGCAGCTGCTTCACGTGGTTGTACAACATCTCAAAGTTCGGCTAGAAAACACATCCAAGTGGAAAGGTGTCATGCATTTGGTGTGAAGGAAGGCCACTGCGGGAGGTAGAGGTGGGGTGTACTGTACTACGCAGAACAGCTGGAGGAGCATGTCTAAGTTACCTTTTCTCTACAGAGTCATCTCCTCCTCAGGCTAAAGTTTCTCTGAATGTTCAGTTTAAAAGAACCTCTTTTCTTCCCTAGCCCTCTATCATCATCCTGCATCCAGTTTACTTTAGTCTCCAGAAGGACTGAAATAAACAGAGGAAATCTCTCTCTTCTAGGCAGTCATATCCCTTACAGCACTGTCACACCTCAAAATAGTTCCGGTGCATTTATTTGCTCACAGAAAGTACCTCACTCCTTTGGCTTTCAAGTGTCAGACTTATGACTCTTCCACCTCTTTGCTCACAACTAGGTTAATAATGATTCACACGGTTATCACTATCTCCACAGGAACGGCTGACTTTCTTTCCTACCCACTCTAGTCGCAACCATGTCTTCCTGTGACTGTATCAGCATTAGCGATCATCCCTTTCAGCAGTCATCTGAACATATTATGGGGTAGCTCTGGGCCCTCGGCCCTTCCAGTGAGGATGTTTGGCTGGCCATAGGAAAGAGAGAGCTGTAGTTCAAGGACCAGTAGAGTAGGACAAAGACAAACCCACTAGTTCTTAGCAGCCATTGAAGAATGCAGACTGGAACCCCTAAATTACGTTAACCAGCATCCTCAAAAAATGTCGTTGTTTAAATTAGCAATGTCCCGTGGTGCTCCCATAATCCTAGAGCCATCCCACATAAACACTGCTAAAGAAAGGAGTTCAAAGCTACACATGTTGCATGCAGGCTGTTTAGTTCAGCAAAACCAAACAAAACACTGGCTCCTGGATCTTAAATGTGTTAGGTTTTTCTAGTCTCCTCAAGCTAACCCACACAACAAATACTCTCCTCTTGGTCCTACATTCTTTTAAGTAACAGAAGAAAGTCTAGAGATCAGTCATTGCTACCGTCTTCAGCTAAGGAATCAACTGAGACCACGAGTGACAAAATGGAAACTCAGCAAACATTCCAATAAAACAAATCTAGTACTGCTTGTATTCGCCTCCTCATGCCTTTTGCATTTAACTCATCACCTTTTCATTTAACTCATTGCTTTACAATTCAACTCTTCAGAAAATTTTTTGGGAGCTGGGTGGAAGAAGGGAGGTGCAGGGAATAAAACACTTTCCCATTTGCGCAGCAGGAGTGTTTCTTGGAAGAAAAACAGAGGCTGTAGCCAAGGAAGCTGAAGATCCCACAAAATGCAGCTGAAATTGAGGCAAGACTCTTCATGATGGAGCTGAATTTACATACCAGGACAAGCTGAGGGTAATCCCGACACATCTTTATGATTGAGGAGCATGCATGCCTTCTCACATTCTTCACTGCTCGAGTTCTAGGAGCCTGGACAGACATAACAAACTTCAATGCAACAAAACAAAAGTTCAGACAAATGCAGGGTATCTTCAAGAGACAAATGCATTACATAGTTTTCTGCACTGTTAAGCACAGATCAAAAAAGCATTCCCACACCTCCCACCCCAATCACACAACAACCAAATTTCCTCTGGAGCAATAGCCAACCCAAGAAACACATGTTCGAACAAGCTGTGCTCAAGGACAGAGGATGCCATGGATCTTACTCACTATTTCAAGACTCCAAGCCCTCCCTAGGTAGCTGGCAGCTTTACAGCCATCCTTCACAGCCACATATACCAACCACTGAAGGGTACCCACAGTTAATGAAGGGATTTCACTCTCAGAAGGGCCACCACAAACTTTCGGACTAAGTGCACTGGCATTACACCAACACTGGTGGCCGCCTAAGCCTATTAAGCTTTGGCTCACAAACTATGTCAACCAAGAACAGATCAGTTGTATCTAGACTTCCCAGCCCTTTCCAGGAGCAGGACTATACTTGAGAGCCCTACTACAGCAGAGTCTTCAGACTCGGCATGGTCTCAAGCAGAATATGATTTGATCCAATTGTTATAGCTAATTAGTAGAGAATAATTCAGACATACCTTACTTTCTTCTATAACTTCAAAGGTAACTGAAGCAAACAGCTGTGAGAAAAGGGAGGAAAAATCCAAAATCTCATGTCATTTGTTAATATCTAGCACTCACAAGTGTTTTGAGCTCAAGCAATCGATCATAAGACTTTGGTGCAATTTCATTAAAGTCAGTGAAGAATCCTTGACTAAGCTGACAGATGAATCATCAGCACAGTGAGGCCTTGAAATAAAACATGGTGTTTACTGGCCAGAGTGTGCACTTAACGTTATGATTTAAGGCTAGGAACTACAAAATTTGTGTTATTTGACATTGTTTCTTCTTGAACAAGACTCAGTCTCAGTTCTTCCCATCTTTAACATGAAGAATAGTCCTTCCCTGACAGTAATGCCAAGAGGATTAACTCCTGCAGTTTACTACAAGGGCCTTGCACCACAAAAAGCCTACCTTGATTTTACCATGGTCTGCAAGTACTTACCTTAGAAAGTACTTGCGGTAGGTATTCTGGTCGGTAAGTGACAAATGGGAAGAGAGCAGAGACGTTGGTGAGCACGCAGGACAGTATAAGAGGGTCCTTTGTTTCAAAATTAAGGACGAGCTGCAGCAGATCTATGCCATCATTCACTGGGATTTCCTACAGAGGCATGAAAGGGAAAGAAAAGGAAAGAAGAAAAGAGGCAACAGTTAGTACTTCAGCCTGTAGCACACATCCTACAACACCTACAGCCAGGCCACAGAGCTGCTGTTATCACATCAGGCCGCTCAGCTGAACACAACTGTCCTCAAAGCAGAATGAAAAGCAGTAGAAACCTCAGTTTAACTGTGTGCTATGTGCACTTGCTGAGGGGAAAAAGGATGGCAGCACTGCCATGGTTGGCAGGGTAATCTTGAGACGTCCATCTCAAGTCCCCATACTATTGCTTGCACCTCTGGGAAAGGTAAATTTCCCCTCTCAGCTTAGGTCCCAATTCTCCTCTTCGCTCTGTCCAACAGACTCCACACTTAAATAATTATATGGGTTGATACAGTTGGTTTACTGTGATTAGACGATGAACTGAAGTGCATGAGCCTAATCTAATAAAAAAATGAAGTCTACATCAGACTGAGAAAAACTGCTGTTGAACAAAAAGCAGAAAGAAATTGCTTCTGATCTCCTACTCCCTGAGCATGAATTTCTCTCATTTAGTTAAAAATTTAAAAAAAAATAAAAATAATCTAATGAGGGAATGATTAAAAAAGAATAAACTTAGAAAATTCCTGCCTAAGCAGTCCTATATTCTTCTAGTAAGACCCTATGTCAAAGCACACCACCTGACCAGTCTCCTGTGACTTCTCATGGCATCGCGTCCTGAACCAAGACATGCCTGAAAGTAAGCCAGTATGAATTTGGTCCCATCTAAAGATGGGTCACTACTCTTCATGAGAACCGCTCACCAAACAATCTGGGTTTTCACACAGAGGCAACTGGCTACTACAAACTTTTCAAGGACAACACAGCTGAAAAAAGCCACTCTTGTCAACCCAGAACAAGCCAGAAGAGCAGGCAAGAGCTATCTGGTACACATACGTCTTTATCCAGGGTTCGAAACATCTGGCTGATGACACTCTCGGAGAAGAAGGTCATGGCATCCCACTGCACAAAGGACGGAGAGAAGATGGAGCAGAGACCTTCGCCTGTCTTAGCTGAAAGGAAGAGAACACTGGATCTCTCATCACACTCCTCTCCACATGCACAACACCAGGCTGGTAAGCTCCTGCACTGCAACATCTTAGCATTCATGAGTATTCTGATCATACAGCTTTCCCTGCAGATGCCTGGCAGGGATGCACTGGAGGCAACTAAGGTAGTCTCGTGTGTTTTGCCTCATTCCAGTGAAGGCTCCTGAGACATAAGTCTGACCTTTGAGATACTACAGGGAGCAACACCAACAAGTCACAGAGGGGAAAAGAAAAGGAGGGAGACCGCATTCCCAGGCTCAGCACTGCAGGCAAGATTGCCCTCAGTGTGACTTTGCACCAAGTGGCCTTCCTTCACAGGAGGGAAAGCAAGGTGACTGACAGAGGGATTTGCCAGGCAGGCAGAACTTCCCTGGACAAAACCAGTATGTTATGGAGAAAACAAGGCACAAATAATTGTAAAACTGTATCGGAGGGACAGATGCATCTGTTTTGCAGAGAGATTTGAGGGAGGGAAAGGGGAAGCCAGGGGTTTTACATTAGCTATTCCATAGGTAGACTGCAGAGCGTTAAATCTGGGGTGGGGTGGGTTTGATTTGATTTTGCTTTTAACTTCTAAAGACCTTAAATGCCTGAAAACCTAATGTTGAGTCTCATCTCCCCCTTAAAAAAAAAGAAAAAAAAAAAAAAGGTGAAGAAGTTTCTTCTTGGCTTGGATTAAAAAACAAATCCCACATTCCTAATTTTTTCCAGGTAACTCACAGTTCATGGGTCCAGTATCAACAGGAGCTGTGAGCTGGTACTTCAGCCATTCACCAGCCATTTGGAAACCAGTTCGAGGGTCCAGACGACAAGCCATCCTCATCACCTCTCCCTGCTGGGCTCGGAAAGCTGCAGTGAAAAAAAAAAAAAAATAAAAATCAGACACCATGCAACAAGCTGATGCTACAAATGCTCCCTTCCCCAAAGCTCACCTGCAGCTTTGCACACCTGGGAACATTGTGGACTGTTGCTCTGGCAATAGCTGTGTAGTAAGCTCAGATATACAGTCAGTAAACTAGGTGCAACAGGATGGGCAATTTTTGAAGTGATTTAAACGGACTAAAAAAAGGTGAATTAACTTAAAAAGCAGTGCAATTAAAATGCAATATGAATTATGAAAATCTATGCTAAACCCAGATTTACTGCAATTAAGCCTCTATTTTTCATTAAAAAAGAATTCTTCAAACTATACGTGTTTGCTGCTTACAAAGCACCTTGAGATACTGAGATAGAAAATCAGCATTAGTTAACTAACACTTCCTTCAGCTAAATGCACTTTTTCTAGATTATTCAACTTAAGTTCAGACTCTAGGCCGAGAAGCTAACGCGAACTCAAAAAACCCAAAGACTTGTTTTCAGTTTCAAAGATACATAAAGCGAAGTACAGAATAGGAATTTCATTTGTTCCCAAAATATTCCAGTACATCACCACACAAAAGAATCAGCTCTGCTGACTACAGATGCAACCTGCATTGTTTAAAAAAGTTGTTATATCAAGTAATTTTATTTTGTGTTTCAAATCAGTTTTATTTTCTTATACACGTAATACCTTTAGTATCACTTAACTCCCTAAAGCTATTTAAAATTCTGGCTTTGTGCATTTACCTACTTTTTGATTTCCACCCAACTAGAGTTATTACAAGAAGTAAAAAACAAACTATCATCTAATAAGCAATAAAAAAATGCTACACTTAAAATCTTCAAACATAAATGTAAAATGTAAGAATTTAAGTAATTTATTAAGTATACCCTCCCAGCCACCAAGTGAGTACCAAATAACATCAGCCAGTGGGAACCAACATTGGTTTTGGGAAATAAAACACAAAAAGAAAAAAATTTATTAATACCCAGGTTTCCCTGTTTGCTGGTTTAAAATCATGATAAAATTTGGCTATTTTACTTGCTGAACTCTACCTATTGGTACTGAACCTGATGCTTCTTAGCACAGTCAGGACAGATTTTCTTTCTGGAATGACATTTAAAGTTTTTTGTAAGCTGCCTTCCTCTCCTGACCTGAGCAGGGCTCCAGGCTGTTTCATTTCCTCCTCTAGGTGACCAGGAGGCACATTTTCTTTGCCATTAGGTAGCAAATGCTACTAGGCTACCTACCTAGCCAGGAGGTAAAATAATAGCAAAAAGTAAGTAAAATGAAATGCCTGAGCTGCCACAGAAAAATCCTAAATTAATTAAACTCCAAGATCCAGGCTGAAAGAGTCAAGACACAAACAGAAGCCGCCAAGCCAACATGGTACGCTCCAAGCTCAGCCAGCAACTGAAAGTAAGAGGAAAGGCACAGACAACAGCTTCCACACAGGGTGATGGCAACTTACAGTTGAAGAAGGCATTGAAGTCCTCATCACTGTCAAAATCAAAGCGGGAGTATTCACAACTGTGGCTGTCCATTTTAGAGGGAAAGCCCACCTGGAGACAGGACAAGGTCAGGAAGGAAGAGAAGTCACTCATCACAGCTAACACCAGCTTCAGGGAGATGAAGACTGAAGGCAAGGATCAGACAGTACAGAGTGGCCTGGAGATAGCGTCGCCAGTAGATACAATAAAAATGTAGTTTCTCCCCCACGACCCACAGGCCATGTTCACCTAGGCACCTTCTCACGCCTATCTGGCCACAGTTCCCACATACCTTCACTAGGTTGGTCATAGATGCACGAAGATACTTGGGAATCATAGCCAGCAACAAAGGGTCACGAGACAAAACTTCATGCCGAAAGAGGGCTCCCCATGTGATCTGGGTGGAAGAGCGCAGAAACTGGGGGGGGGGGGGGAGGGGGGAAAAGGGGAACAGAGAAGGATTTCAGTGCTGGAATCTCCACTAACATCAAGTGTTCCTAGCAGAAGGCAATACCAAATTATTCTGACTATTTGGTTGGGGCAAGGCACCTTGCAGGCACAACTCAAACTGCCAGAATGACAAAACTTAAATACTAGTGGCTGATTGCAAATTCTGCACTTTCTACTCAGCACCTGTGTCAGGCACTGTTCCTAACGGGGTAGTAACGGAGGAGAAACCACTCTGCCTTCCAGGTCTTCAGCTGAAACAGAGAACCTGGAAAGCGATATTTGGCAGCTTCTGTGGTCTTCTATAGGTTAGCTCAGTTATACATTCACACATTCTTACATAGACATAAATGAGACTTTCAGCCCTTTACATACCTGGCTAGGATGGGTTGTAAAGGCTAAAAACGAGTCAAGGTATTTTCCAAAGTTTGCTGGTGTTTCCACATCAGAATCTGAGCCCTACAAGGAAGACAAACAATTTCAGACAAAATACTAACTATGCGCCATGCTGGGCTCACAAGTGGCATGTCTCTGGGTAAAGCACAAGCACTGCATCCAAGGCCACAGACTGTAAAGGAGCAAAGACAAAAGCACTGAACAACTGGTGGTTTTTTTTCTAAAACCAGTATAGCCTGAGGAGTAGCAAGTTCTGCTGACCAGCCTGGGGGTGCAGGAGAAAGCACCACCCTCATTCAAGAGAAAAGGCAGACTTCTCAGATACTGGAGTTCCATTAAAACCAAAGTCATAACTGCTGCTGCCGTGAGTCACAATTTTCCTCCTATTGGGTCAAGCCCACCCAGCAGTACCAAAGGGGAGCAATTTTCAACTGCAGAATTTCACAAGCAAATACACCCAAATGATTTCACTCCCATTCCTCCAAATGTTTCCTGCATTCAACATATGGACATGTCTTATCAATACCTTTCTGGCAAGTTTGTCAGGAAAGTAAGTTTTACCTGGAGCCATAAATTCAAGGTTCTAGCGGTCCTTAATGATCATAATATGACCTGGTGCCCTCAAGATCCCTGTTGTGGAGCTGTACAGCTCAGTGCTGCCTCTCCCGAGCCAATGTGGATGAGAGGACTCGGATCTCCATTTTATTACTTCATTCCAGACTAACACTGCCTAACAGAAGTGAAGTCACAGAATCACAGAATGGTTAGGGTTGGAAGGGACCTCTGGAGATCATCTAGTCCAACCCCCCTGCCAGAGCAGGGTCACCTACAAAGTCACTGAAAGTAATAACACACCCTTTGTTCACTGTCCATTCTTTTTAGGGCTAAGTTCTCAAAGGGTTTTTTTTTTTTTGCTTTCCCTCCCTGCGAGAATTTACCCTGCTCTATCACTTGCCCAGGCTGGCTGCCTCAGTCTCCCCGCGAACAGCATCTCCCAACAAGCCCGCCTTCCTTACTGTAGGAGCACTGTGCTGAACGGATGGAGCAGGAATTCAGCAGTCAGCATGGCATGCAAAGTATCAGCGTGCATCTTCATCTCAACATTGACACAAAGCATTAGAAGGAGGAACAGCAGGAACAAAACCTGTTCATTCCCTCAGCTTGAGAGAATCTTAGCAGAAGAACAAACAGGAATACTCTTTGAGTTATTTTTAATAGGGAAATTTACGAGGCTTCCAGTGCAAGAGTAATTTCTGGGAGTAGTTTTTCTGTAGCAGTAGACAGCAAGAAACTTGACCAATTTTCAACAGAGCTTCAGCATTTTACAGAGGTTATAAGAGATGACTTTTGATGACAGCAGAGGCCTGGAATCAGTCAGGGTCCCTCCATTTTACATTCCTATGACTTGGCAGGATACAGTTCTCTCACTAGCAAGCAGAGCCATTTCTGCCTTTTCCAAACGTGTTGAGAGAACCCTGCGGCTACCAAATGTGCAGAGATAACCCTGGTCCTACCTTTGATTAGGGTTTCCTCACTCCCAGCCCTAAAAAATAGCTTTGCCAGGGTTGCATCTGGTCTTAGTAGAGACTTACCAGCAACGCGCACAGCTGGCTGCCCAACGCGCACAGAACTTGGCAAAGTCTCTTCAAGAAAACATAGTGCTTCTCCACCAGGCCTTCTCCATCTGCTGTCCTGGGAATGAGGGGAGGGGGGAAAAAAGGATCACAGTTACTCATTCTGTAGGTAACAGGCACACTGCTATCTACCTTGTAGATAAAAAGAAGACCAGAGCAATTTGATTTTATTGCAGTGGGATCTTCTTTGCTATTACCAAGAAGTACTGCTTTATTGGTTTCTAAAACCACTGAAACTGCCTCTCTGAAAGAGTCCCTCCTGATCAGTTTCAGGCTAAAACAGAAAGTTGGGGAAGCTGTGACATTTATACCACTTTGTCCTTCAATTATGGGATTTGAAAAAACTTGCAGTTTTTCAGGTTTTGCAAAAGAAATGGTGGTTTTGTTCTCTCCTAACCCAGTCCCAGCTTCCTGCAGTTAATCAGCAATAGCTTTTGTAAATGGCATCTACAAAACCATTTGTACGCAGTTTTTGTGTGAAATTACAGCAGCAGGATGGTACTCACTGGGCAGCGGAGAGAATGTAGTGCATGGCAACGTCTCCGAACAAGACCATCAGAGGCTTCCGATCCTCCAGCTTACCCTAGGTGTAAAATACGCCAAATGCCTCAGTTAGAACAGGACTATTTACTCCCATCTGCAAGTGAAATTAGGAGATCCCAAGCTGTCCTTCTACCTGGGGAAGGGTTACAGTCCACAAATTATTTCAGTAAAAATCTGCCAAAAAAATCTAATCTATTCCTGATCTCAAGGAATTTCCCCAAGCAATCCCACCACAGGAACTTTAACCTGAAAAACTAATCCTGAGAGATTTAACTCTTCTTCCCTCCAGACTGGTTAGTTATGTAAAGGCAGCTGATAAATACTCAGCTTTGACACTAAGCTACTTGTGAATGTGTGGGTCAAATCACTTGTTTAGATCCTGCTGTCATTGCTCTGAGCTACCAGATGGCACAGCTGGTGACAGTATCTCCCACTTCACTGTTGTAGAAAGTGGGGAAAAAAAGTTAACTTCAAAACTGCGAGGGGAGACAAGCACAGAAGTTGGAGAGGGTTCCAACAGTTGCTGTACGTATTGCGCTGGCATGACATTCACACTAAACATCATTAATATAAGCAGCCAGATTTGAATTTTGTTTCTTAAATAAAAGGACAAAGATATCATTGCTCAATCTGAAGAATTATACAGGAGAATAGGAGGAAACCAAAGAGGAGCCAGAGGAGCAATGGAGGAAGAACTCACTTTCCTG